TAACTTGAAATTCTTGCATATTTGAGAGAGTGATGATATACTTTCTTGTAGTTTCTTCTTCCTCTCTTGACTTGTGTAATTTGAAACTTTTTGTCCGTTAACTCTTTAATGCTAATGTTAAAGTCAACAGGCAAAAGTTAGGGCATCCCCAACTATGGATGGTCATCAAGAGAAAAAATCTCAGGTTGATTTGGATCAATAGTTTTGTTAGTTGGTGTGGTTCTAGTCATACCCCTTGGGCTAACTTTTTAGTAATGCACTACTTCCAATAAAGGATCTAATGTTGATTCAAAGTTAACAAATTAGATCAAAAGTAGACAAAACTGCTACCATTGTATTAGAATATTGGTTTTTTGTCTGTTGAATGCTCTTCACTGCCTCGATTTCTAGGAGGTTTATGTAGTTCTGGGTCTGGGTTGAAACATCCTGAGAAGTAGTGACAAAAAATTTAGGATGAAGAATAATGTGAAGGAATTCCTTCAACATCCACCTTATGCCAATACCTACAAGCAGTAGACCTAGGAAAATCTTCTTCTTCAAGGGATGATAACATTCATTTGCATTATAATCGTAGCTACAAATAGCCTAGAAAGCCTAATAATAGCAACATCTTATTTGAAGTTGTTTATAAAAAAAATGGAACAAAGAGAGTATGTAATAGATTGGTTGAATAATGAATCTAGAGATAAGGAAAAGCAATTCAAATGGGAGTAATAGGTAAGGCATACACTAAAGCATTTGCTTTGGGAATTCATCAACATAGTATTAACTATTGGAGAAGAGTTTTGAGTAATACGATTTGAGGAATAGCTAGATAAAAATATTATCAGAATAAATAAGCCATTTGAATAACCCCAACAAATATCACATTGTCCATGAATCTACGAACAATCTTCATATTGAGCCATCCATAGAATTACATACATGAGAGAGTAAGGAGATGCTTGTAATAGCCTCCAAATTTAATTTCACTGAAATTTTTGTAAATATGAAATTTTTATTGGGAGTGCTACTATACTTTGCTTGTGAAGCGCGTGGACGCTAAGCCTAATTATCATACAACAATATCAAATCTTTATCCTACTACATGGGGTCGGCTACAGGAATCCTTTTTCTCCATTGTTTCCTATTAAGAGGCAGTTCTTATATATATATAATAATAATAATAATAATAATAATAATAATAATAAATTGTTTAATTAGATAAAACATTATTATTTTTCTAGCATTTGTGTTGTTGACTTCTCTAGTGAATTTCTTGTCATTCACAGTCTCAAACTTTCGTTGCTCACATGTGGATGCATTTTCTTCTTTTTCTTTTGCTTATGGTTTTGATGGTCTCTGGGCTTTTTTAGGTAATCTTGGCGTGATGCACATGCCACCGTTTATTCTTGCAAATTGGGTAACATCTGAGTGGTTTTTTGTTGACATTACGATTCAATTAAGTGCTTTCCATTGATGTCTCATTAGATCAAATCGGATTCTAGGATACATGCAGAGGTCAATGAGTGCAATATCACATGACATAAAAATTAGTATCACACGTCTTAAGATGATTTATAGTATGGTGATTTTTATGTTCATTTATAGTGAAATAGTAATTAGTACCTTTCTATGATGATATATTAACATGCAACCACATTAGGCTTAAACATACATATCTATGGTTGACTCATTATTCATTTATGATTTCTTTTTATATCTGAATATATTTATAGTCGATTTTACTATGACACCTTGAATCCAATAAATTATGTGCCAACAACAACAATGTCAAGTCTTTATCCCACTACGTAGGGTCGGTTATATGAATCATATTTTTCCATTGCATCATGTTAAGAATCAAATTCTCATTTAAATCAAATAAAAAAAGGTAATTTTTAATATTTTTTAACTAAGTCTTTTTAGGTCTACTTCTAACTTTTTAACATAGGAATCTAATACATCTACTCTCCTTATTGAGTTATCGGAATGTGGACGTTTTGTGTGCCCAAACCATTTAAGGAGTCTCTCTCTAATCTTATCTACCACTGGAGCTACTCCAACGTTTTCACTTATATACTCGTTTTGCATTCTATCTCTGAGAGTGAAGCCATTCATCCACCTGAGCATCCTCATCTATGCAACAATTTAATTTAATTTTATGCTTCTCTTTTAGTAGCGAACCTTTTCACGTGAGCGCCAACCTATAGATTTAATGACTTTTTTTAACCCATTAGCATGACTAGCCGATACTAAAAAAGATTTTATCAATCTACACATCCATTGCGGCGTTCATGCGTACGCACACAAACATAAACACATGGGGGGGGGGTCAAAACATTACCTTGTCTCTTGGGATGCTGGTTGCTTCTCGGTTTGGGGCTTCACTCTCAGTTTTTGGCTGTGGAGCTACTTTGTATCAGCTCATTAATGCTTGAGTTGCTGTTTTTCAGCTCAGTAAAATGGATAATTTAATTTCTTTTTAGCTCATTATGAGGATTTATTTGGTTCATTCCCCATTGTCTTTGGCCCTTTGATTTCCTCCCCTTGGTTCCTTTTCCCGTGACTGGTTCTCTGTGCCCCTTCGATTTTCCTCTCTCTTATCTACAAACCCATCTGCCTTCCAAAATTTACCCCGGAACTTAGTTTGTTAAAACTCCCTCGCCGAATAAGAATAGCGCGGCGGGGAGGCCGGGGCCGAATTTTCGGAGCCCACACTTACCTCTTTCTTCTATCCGCAAGTTCGACGCCACTTGTATCTTTCTTCTCTTATCAAGGAATGCAGCAAGTTTAGGTGTTTGTTTTTTTTATGTTCTAAATATGAGTTGTAAGGTGTTGTTTGGTCTTATTAAGCATGTAATTTCTTATCCTAGGAAGTCTGTTTCTTTTGCTTTCAAAAATTAGATTTTTTCTATTTTTTGCTTGCATTATATATATATATATATTCTATACATTATCGGTAAGTATGTAACAAGTGTTTTATAATAAATATGAAACATGTTATCTTCATAATAAAAAATGATTTCTCTAAATAAATTTATAGTATTCAAAGGAGGCAACATGTATGAAATGGATGTTGATACTACATGAATCATTTCAATTTTAGGGATTTTTGTAATAACAAATCAAGACAAAGCTATGCATTTTACTTAGTATTTCATTATGATCATTAAATAAAATCTATGAAAATATGTGCATCAAAATCTGAATAACAAGTATATGTCTGACAATTTATAAAATATCCAAGAACCTATTACAAATATCAAGGATAGTGCCTCAACAAAGAATGGTATGTTATCTTTCAATAAATAAAAATTACTTACCTCAAAGCAAGTGGTATAAAATTCCAAAATTTTTTAGATTAAACCTAATCAAGCCAAATGGATATCAACTAAAAGGTTTTTCATAATAAGGACCGTGATATAGGTGCATTCTATTTAGCATAGATTACACCAGAATCTCCCTAAATTAATTGTTATCCTTGTGGAATGATGTCTATACTATTAAACCTAATCATAAAGGTTATCGTAAAAGTATTAAATCAATGCTTGAGGCTAAAATTAACCTCTCTAAAACACTTTAACATACTTACCGAAAGTAATGAGAAAAAAACGATGATGTGAGTAGCCAAAGATCAAGAACAAAAATGCAATAAATTTTCTATAGAGAGTAAGAACAATAAATTGATTATATTGCTATTGAAAGGATGAGAACAAAAATGTTACCAGTTGAGGATTTACCTTATAAATGTGCCAACTTAGGTCAAATTTATGAGAGGATGAGGAAGGTGACAAAAGTTTTATGCAGGTTATTACAATTGGTAACATTTCTTTGAAATTATTGATGATGCTAAACTTGTGGAGGAAACCCTTACCACACTTTTGAATTGTATTACTACCTTACATGAAGCTTGGAGATGGGTATGCTCAATCAATTTTATTCCAACCACCTTCCTAACTAACTTTTAATTTCTTTTTCAAGTAATATTCTATCCATCTTTCCTCCTAACATTTGAAATTTGTAAAAGAATTACAATAATTATTGGAATTAAAAAAAAATCATGTAAAGCATTGGGACTTGGTGTCTGAACCACTTTATATTGCATTTGACTTCCCATCGGTCAACCATTGTAGGAATTCCCTTTCAAAAGCACACTTAACTTTAGAGTTCCGGATGAAACTCTAATTATTACACTAAAAGGTATCCACATATTTGAGTGTAAGTCCTTACTTTAAGTGCTCAATATTTCCCTTCTTTTTTTTTTTGACGGGGGATTTAATTCATCGTATCCTCTTTTTTGCCTATAAAAGTTCACCATCTTAGAAATTTGCTAGGAGCCTCTCTTTTGCCCGGATGTGATTACTCCTCTTTCTCATTGACTTCCCTTGTTAGATTTGGGATATCATAATATAGACATCTCATATCATTTTTCTAAACCTAACAACTGAAATCTTAAATATTTATTAGACTTCAGTTCTTACCCGATAGTCTAATATCGAACCATATTGAGTAATCCTTATGGTAGTACTTTGAAGACTAAATCTAATAACTCTTTTGGATCAAAGAATTAGGTATCAACTATAGTTTGGTTGGGTTGGTTATGCTATTGAGTTCCGTTATATTGGATAGCCTATCACTAGCAACATTGTTTTATTTTATGACTAATGCTTTTTTCTTTCATATATATGAAACACGGATGAATGTCTATTCGTTTCCTTTTATTAAGTGGTTATTTGTTTGCATCTACAGTTCCGATTAATTTGCTTTGGGTTATTCAGTTTTATTATAACTGTTAATTCCAGTGGGAGAACTCAATAGTTTTTCATGCCATAGATTCTCCGGAAGTTGACCGTATGATTATACCCTCTAATTGTGTACACATATATGGACCTATGAACTCTGGTTATATTAACAAACGAAAGGAACTTGACAATTTTAAAACTTATAAAAAGCCCAAGCATCAGTTTTCATGATTTTGTATTAAATATTAAACAAATTGCAGTTTGTCTTCTTTGCAGTTTCTGGGACTAATAGAGATTTTCATGTCCTTGAGGAAGAACAGCTACCTAGCAGGTATATTGCCAATGGGTGAAAGACAATTAAATGAAGTTTCATTTAACCATTTTGTAGTTGCGTTTAATTGAAACACTTGGTCTTTGTTATCTCCTGCTTACAATTAAGTGTAATAATCCTAATTACTTCTTGTGATTATTTTTATTTTCTTAAAGAAAAAGGCTTTTATTAACAATCAATGAAAACAGTGTAATACGTTGCATGTGCACAATACTGCGAAATGAAAGAGCAAAAAACAAAACACACCATGAAGGGCAACTAGATAACAATGAAGCATGGCCCTTCTGTTAGAAGAGAAGAAATATAGAACTTACAGTTTTGTATAATTTTTGAGAGTAATAATATAATTTGTTGTCATTTCTGCCCCTCATCGCATTTTGAAGCTTTTTGTCCATTAGCTCTTTTGTACTAGAAATTCTAATATTAGAGCGAACAAACCAAGTTTGGATTATCAATATCCCCAGCAACATGATACCCATTAGGAATAAAATTCTCTGGAGGATTTGAATTAATAATCTTGTGAGTAGTTGCAGGCTAATCATTCCTATTGGCCTAACAACCATGGCATGCTTTAATTCTATTATATAATCTAACGTTGATTTGAAGTTTGTGTACACACCAGATATGTAGTAGTTAAAACTAGCACCATTACAGTAAAATGTTCCTTTTTATTAGTTGAATACTCTCCACCGTCTTGATTCCTAAAAGATTTCTGTAACCTAGTTTGCCTTGTTACATCCTAGTAAGTTTTAACAAAAACATTTGAAAGAAAAATGATAAGAAAGAATGTCTTAAAATTTTACCTTCTGCCTGTAGCCAGGAGAAGTGGAATTAATCTAAATCATGTTCTCCAAATGGTCAGTAATGTTCATTTCAACTAAAACCCTAGCCACTGATGGCTTGGATAGTTTCACTATAGCAGTATCTACTTAAAATACTTGCCAAAAATTAAGAGAATACATAGTGGATTAGTTAAAATTGTGAATTTTAGTGTTAAAAAATTAATCCAAGTTTTGTTACACAAACAATCAAGATGAGGGGACTACTTGAGCAAATATATTTGGAAACCATTCACATATTATGATTTTCATGAAAAGAGTTTTGAATAATAGCTCAACTCTATAATCCCCAATTAATCTTAAATCAACTATGAATATATGAACAATAAACATGCAACCCGGGCGCCGGTGCAGCGGCCCTTGCACACTTGTCACTGTATTCAGGCCATACAGCGCGTCGCTTCCAGGGGACGCCCTAGCATTAACACAATTTCTTAAATGATTCATGTCATTGTTGTTCGACAAGTTTTACACTGGCTGTCGACTATTTAACGCAACCCTCTACTTTTCTTATCCAGGACTTGGGACCTGACAACGGCAGTGTTAAATCTTTCTAATAAAGAAGAAAGAAAAAATGGATGCAAACTCTAAGATCACTTTGAGAAAATGTGCATTTGTTTACCTTTATAACATGTTGCTAGCTTGTGTTGAATTGGTACATGACGTTGCTGAAACTATATGGGAAAACGAGAGGAAGAGATAGGCCGAAGACTAGGACCCTGATTCTCCCAAACAATCGGCGAAACAGATGGAGTGGATATCAAGGAAACATTTGTAGCCAGTGGAAGTGAGCTGGCATGACACAAAAAAAAAACGCGATGTAGAGCACAAATTGACTAGTAACAAGCCAGCTTGACAGTAAGGGTGCTACCTATGATTTCCAAAATAACCAAATGATTCTAAGGAATAAATGAAGCATATAAACAAAATTTATAATGCACATACCACCAATTAAAACAATTATTCATTTCCTTTAGATGCAATACCAAAATCATATATTTAAGCATCTTAATGCATGTGTGCACTAACTTAACGACATTGCTGTACTACTTCCTAACGACGCCCAATAAAACCTATATTCAAGCAAACGTAGTATATATCAATCACCCAACATATATTTTCCAAAGATATGATCATGAAGAAAGGACTTAGGAATGCAAAACCTACTAACTTTATAAAGATATCCAACTTGAACCATAAAGGTAGCGTAAGGAATATGACATATCTTTGTGATCGTGATAAATCAGGTGAAAGTTATGACTTGTCAAATACTCTTATTTGATTTTATCAAAATCAGGCAAATAAAGTGCATAGAAGTTAAAAAAATAGAAACCAATGATGCTATGCCCAAAACTTTATTTTGAATGCATGTGTATGGTTTTCAGGATAAAATTGTAATCCTGAAATACTCAATTCATTTGACATTTATACTACTCAACTTCTTTTATGTATTTATATCTCAAAGCCTGGTGATTATAAATGAAAATAAATTAATTTGGTATTAATTAACGTTGCCAATATCTTAAAGCTTGAATGAGAGCATATACTTCTCTATCTTAGGTGTAGTATTCTCCATTTATTCTTATTCAATTTCCCTTTAAAGTAGACGACTTGGTGGCCGTCTTGGATAATAACGTCTCTTATTCCAACACCAATGACATAATAGGATATCTAGAAAATCTCCTTAAGAATTATGGAGTGTTAGAACTAGTGATATTGTAATGACACTTTTATTTGCTCGAAGGCTTTGAAAGTAGAAGATGTCTAAACAAATTTGTTTTTTTTAATAATAATTGTCAAAGAGGCAAATGATAGAACTGAAGTTCTTAATGAACCAACTATAAAATATGGGTAATCCATACAAAATTCTGATTCTGAAATTAGGATTGGTTAGTCAAGGGCTGCCATGATTTTTCTAGGGTAGAAGACATAAAGTAATGAATTATGACTCTTCACTAAATATATATGCACTTTTTAAGTTTTTTATACATTTCATCTCTTAAATAGAACAATTGATATAGTTGATCAAGATACTCATTCTCAATGTATTTCATACTTCATTTGGCTCAAATTTAATTTTTTATATAAAATTAAAGAATTTATTTTCTAAATTAAAACTTTGTATTTATTACCACCGCGATGATTTGCCTCCTTGATTCTAACACCTCGTAATTTTTTACGTTTGTAAATTACCTATACAACTCACACATCACAATTGCTAAATTCTTTTATATTCCTATAATTTATTTTTCTAATCATATAAATAAAATCAATTTATTCTAAATAATATTTTTACCTCAAAACTTTTCCTCGTCATATACCAATTGAGTCCTAAATAACAATTGGATATAATCTAAATTTGAAATTTTACACAAACAAAAACAAGAAATCTACCAAAATTACATTTCTTACCTTTTCCTTATTCTTCGCCCTTTCATTTTATTCTTCTACCGGATTCCTCACCTCAACCCTTCGGCCTTCCTTGCTTCCAGCCCTTAGTCGAACTCCAACAACCCTAAGAGAGTTTCCAGCACAAGAGGTTTATGGCTTCGACAGAGACGGAGATGTAATTTATTTAATTGTGACTGTTTATTTTACTTAAATGCCCATAGACAAGGCCGCTGCATGGCCTGTTAAGTGGAAAACCCCAAAATTTTTCCTACCCAGCTACATTAATTTTTATATATGAACAATATTTCTAATTAAAAACTTTAGGAAAAAAATGCAAATCAACACTAATTCCATAAATTTCACATATTTACAAATTGGCACATAGTTCTATATACCAATTTGCTCTAATTGACAAGTAGAACACAATAGAATAATTTTTGCTGATTTTCGTGAAAGTTGGTGTTTTGGGATATAATTTAATTTAGGAAAATTTTTATTTTTACTTGAAAATTTCGGGTACTACACTTAGCTTCTATAATGTACCGACACGGACACGGCGACATGGACATGACACGACACGGACACGGGACACGACATTTTTTAAAAATATAGGACACTTGTGCGGCGTGGGCACGACATAATAATTTTTTAATATAATATATAGAAATTAAGGTAACATTATGTTAAAAATGGCAATAAATAATAAATCATAATCATAATAATTTGTTTAGCTTATAACATAAAGATGTTTAGTACAAAATGTCTAGTACAATCATAAAAATATAAACAAAAAATCATTTAGTACAACATGAAAGTCCAACTACTCAATAGAGAGAATGATAAAATTAGATTCAGAGGTTGGTATTTGACCTTCAATGTCATTATCATTGAATATCATTGCTTATAACTCTGGTTCATCTAGAGAAAGATTTGCAACATCCAGTAATCCCATATCATCAAGACACTCGAATCCATCTCCAGCAACATCTCACATATTGTTATCACCTATTATATAAAGTGGAGTTTTCCTTGATAGAAGACGAAGATTTGTATGCACAAACTAAATCTTCAGTCCGTTGTGGAGTTATTTTATTTCTCTTCATTGATTTAATAAATGAGTATGTGCTCCAATTTCTCTCACAACAAGAAGAGGATGATACTTGACCAAGAAGTTTTATTGCTATAGTTTGAAGAAGCGGTGCTGAAGCTTCATGAATCAACCACCACATTTTTGAATCCATCCTCCATCTATCAACCAAATATTCTTTATTATCAAAATCCTCTAAATATCCAAATAACTTTGCAAGTTCTATATTAATTTTTCGTCTCTTCTCATTTGGAAAATATCGTTTCAAGCATATCTTTCTCATATTTGACACTTCTAAATCTTTTTGTGGTGAGACACATTGAGGATCTTCTTGAAGCCATTCTTTACTTCAATACCTTCAAATAATACAAAACATATAAAATTATTTATTTATTTACCAAGAAATTTAAAATTAATTTAAAAGATGAATACAAATGTACCTTGGATTTAATGAATCAGTCAAACAATGCAAATGTGTGTTGATTTTGGTTCACCTATCCTCAAGAATGGTATAGACAATGCTAAAAAAATTTGTCTTCATTATGTAACTTTCTTTCATGTTTGTATATAATATCTTTCACTTTTGTTAACATAGAGTCCCACATCTTATAAATCAAATGTAGGTATGATTTATCTGTGTCAGCCTCTCTCAACATGTCATAAATCGGATCAACGAAAGCCAA